ACTTCTGTCCGTCTACCACCCTGGATTGCTCTCGGCTTAGTAGCTGCTCTCCATCTTTTGTACTATTTTTTTTTTAATTTAGCTGATATCTGGTATTAGGGCTGTCCTAGCCCATTTTATATTCTCTCATTTTTTCAATTTCCACAGCCTCTTTATGGGTTCCCTATGCCTCTATCTAAAATTATGGGATTAGCCGCAGATGTTATTTGGCATGGGAGTGCCAGAGTTGCCTGCTTTGGAGTGAGGGAACAGATGTGGACAATTTCAGCATCATGGGTGACCTTGAGTGAGGGAAGTTGAGAGCCCCTCCCCGATTTTCTAAGTTGTCTGTGAATAAGAGAGTGCATGTCAGGGGGTGTGTGAGGGTGCTACAGCTGTGATTCCCCTAAGTCAGGGGGCGTGTGGGGGTGCTATGGCTGTGAGTCCCCTAAGTCAGGGAGCATGTGGGGTTGCTACGGCTGTGGGTCCCCTAAGTCAGGGGGCGTGTGGGGGTGCTATGGCTGTGATTCCCCTAAGTGCGTGTGTTAAAGACTTGGCCTCCAAGAAAGGCACTAAGTGGGACATGGGAAATAAGAAGTAGGACCTGCTAGGAGCTCTTTAGATCTTTGCAGGCTTGCCCTTGAAAGGGATTGTGGGAGCCTGATCTTCTCTTTCTCTCACTTCCTAGTCATGAGATGAGCGGTTTTGCTTGATCATGACTCGTACAATTGATGTACTGCCTCACCACGGGGCCCAAAGCAACACAGCTCATCACTCAGGGACCAGGTATTCAAAATTAGGTGACTTTGAAGTTGATTTTCTCTGTTTTGTTGTGTCTCTGAAATGGGGTCTTACTCTGTATATTGGGCTGTCATTAGTACTGAGATCCTGCTGTCTTGGTCTTTCCAGAAAGACCTAGAAGTGCAGATGTGTATCACCATGTCCAGCTCAAGTGCTTCTTACAGTGATACGAAACTATCACAGGGTTAGGGCTGGTGTGGAGACTAATATGGATGGCCAGTTTGAACTTAAACAAAAGTACATGGAGGAGGATGTCGGAATTTATTATAATTAAGGAAAATGTTATTGTGGCATTTCCCAGGAATCTAAGTTTGTGAACAACAATTTATACTGCAACAGTTCTTCGGATTTGACTAATGGGAGCATAAAAATCGACAGGGCAAAACAAATGCTGTGTTCCAACGGGCCAGGTTCTGAGGCTGGAAAACAAGGGTGTAGGGAACGGCTGCCTCGACTTTTCAAGCAGGCGTGCTGTGCTCAGTTGCTGCTTGCTTCACAGCCTCCCCCAGGATTTCACAACAAACCCTACTGTGCAGCACAGACAGACGGTGCACACTTCCTGTGTTCTCCCTCTGGGTGGAAGAAATGCGCCTCCGCCGCTAATGAGGCAGGGCTCAGCTCCGATTTGTTTGATGACCCGGAAAGCTGACTCTTCAGCCCTCCCTCTCCCCGTTTTGGCATAGGCATGCCAATTTTTTTTTTCACTCTGCTTCTTTGGAGCAGGAATTGCCCACAGCTCCCCATGTGGACCCAGCGACACCGCCAAGGCTTGTTAGGGTCCTGCATTCCCTTGCCTGTGTTGTAGGACTTGAGTGTTTGCCTGCTGGGTTGTGGCATGTAGACCTTTGCCGAACTTGGAAATCTGGCCTCCAGTGTGGAACAGGAACAGCCTGTTCAGTGCCGGGAAGAGTGCTGTTTTATCTCAGCCAGGGGTGCCAAAAGAGAAGGGGAAAATCTGCTGCTTGCCTGTTTGGCTATTATTCAGGCATGAAATCTCTTAATTTCCTCACTTTTTTTAGGGGTTAATGAGCTGAGAGTTTAAGGTTAAGACATGCTTTTTATTGTTAAAACAATGCTAGCTTCATCAGCGACGCCCAGGACCCTTCTTTTATTCTTCAGAAGTATATGAACTGCACGATGCTTTTCACATCCGTTTGTTTCAGGAGCTTGAAATGTTCCAAACAACATTTTGTGTGGATTAAACAAATTATTAACAATCCTCAAAAGGAGCGTTGGAGGGGTTGTGCTGAATTCTTCAGCTCTAACCGTCTTCAGCAAATGAGAGTCTAAATTAATGTTCTTTTGATACTCCCCGGGAATAAGATACCATCTCTTCTCTAAATCCATCTAACTGTGAGTTGATGATGATGGCAGAAAAGCACCCAGTCAGCACAAGTCCTCTCATTTATTCTCCGTTTCTCTAACTTTCTAACGTTTGCCTTGCATTGCCACCAAATGAATTGATCCTGATCTGGTCCAAAGATTAGGTGGTGACTTTGGCACAGTGAGGAGAAATCAATAATACTTCTTTTTCTGTACAAACAGAAATACTGAAGCTATGATGACATTGGATAATGGAATTTTTTTTTTTTGCCTTCTTAATGCATTAGTTGGAAATAGTTAACAATAATGCTATGGAATAGGAACACACTAAAATTTCCCAGACTGAATGTTCTTCTGTACGAGCCATGGTGGTCATGGTGATTGAGCCTATACACCTTCCTGTTCAGTTTTCTTCCTTGAGTCTCTCTACCATGTCACTACCTCATTGGTCTTTTCCTTTCTGGACTATATTGTCTAAAGCCTCGTACTCCACTCCAAGTCAGGCTGGAAACCAAAGCTGAAAACAAGGCTAGGAAAAAGCATCTCCCTTTACAACAGTGATCTACCGGGCGGCTGTTTGTACTCAGTTCTCAGGATGATTAAATGCTTAAGACACGGGCTCTGCTTTCTACAGTCGCAGAGCTTACAGGCGATAGGTGGTTGAGCAGGGAAATGGGCACACCATCACTAATGAGGAAGAAGGGCTACCACAGAGTTTCAGAGAGTAAAGTGTGGATGTGGACGATGTGAGGAGTTGGGTCCACAAGGCTCATCAAGGAAGGGAAATGCGTGGATGGAAGGTAAATTGTTAGGTGGAGAGATGAAAAGAATGTTGCCGTCAGTAACAGGAGAGGACTGGATTCCAGCAGGTTTCAAAGAGAGACAAATCATACTCAATAGTGTATAATATTTCAAGAAAACTGTAAGCATCTTGGAATGAGTGGATTAAAATGTCCATGTGGCATTATGGGAAAAAGAAGCTAGGAAAGAAACCGGAATAATATGGAGGGTCCTTCACTCATCAATGAAATATGAAAGGGACCAGGTCCCACCAGGCAGGTCCTGTTATCATGAAAATAATCTACTTTAACTGGCCATAAGAAGTAAATTTGACTGATTTTGAAAACAAAAATATCAATTATTTCCAACTTAAAGTCTTCCTAATCTATAAAGATTTCTCACCATTCTTTTCTTCGTGGAGAAGTGACCAGGGGATCCCATTTGGATGCTGGGTGGATTACTTGGTCAAAGTTTTTAAAAGAATGATCCCATCCCCAAATAAGTAAGTCAAAAGTGAAAATGTTTCTTTTCTCAAAAAGAGAAAGATTCTAGCTTGATTAGGAAAGGGTCAGATGGGCAAGATAGGCAAACACCAAGAAATCATTTTCCTTAAAATTTCTTCTATTCTCCAAAGTTGTTTTGACTTCATTGTTTTGATTTTTAAAGTGGCGTTTAATTAGCTAGGATGGCTAATGTTTTATATAACCAACTTGTGCCAAGTCATTTTGCCAAATAGAGAGAAGTCAGGCTGAGATTACTGTTGTTTCACCACGCCCCCCCCCCCCACCACCACCACCACACAAATTATCCCTTAGCGAAAAGGTCCTCTAAAAGGCAGAGGAAATTTTGAATAACCTAGACCACTGAGAGCATTTGGAAAATGACAGAGTCATCACAGATACCAGTAATTGCCCATGACTTTGGTACTTAGAACTGTACTCAGTCTTGGTCTTTGGCTGAGACAGAAGAAAGTCTTTTTGATTGGTCTGAACAGACCAGAGCATCTACAGAAGGTGCTAGGATGTCCTTGATATGATATGACTGCTTAGAGGAAGCTCAGCTTCCTTTGCCAGTTAGAGTTTGAACTTGGGGTTGATAATATGTGAGCGTCTCATCCACTCTTTCTCACTTCTTAACTTCCCTGGGTAAGGTTCTATGATGTACAGAGTTGTTACCCCCATCGTGGGAAAGTTAAGGGCTCAGTGATGGAAAATTTCATGTTATGGTTATCCTAATGCATTGGATGATGGTGCAATGATCAAAAAAGATGCCAGTGATGACAATTGAACGTCCCTTTGCCTTCCCAGCCTCCTTCATATATTCTCAGGCATAGGATGACAAAGGGAAGTCCACGAGTCACATGAAGAAGGACTGTTGTAGCCATGGTACACGGTCAGGAGCTCCTTTGCTTGCCTGCATCTGCCTGCCCCCTCTTAGCCATCCTCTCTATTTCCTGCTCATGCTGTTTCTCCAGCATCTTAGCCACTGACCGGAAATCTCTCCCCACCTAAGTCCTGATTGATGACTCATTCAAAGCAATGATTAACCAGTCCTGGACACAGTGAGTCCTTAACTAGGTGCTGAATGAAACAATGCTTTCAAGCTTTCAAAGGGAGACAAATTTTAGGGGCCTCTTCTTAAGTGAGCTAATGTTTCCCATGTCGAAGAACAGGGTAATAAAGATTTGGGAATGACAGCAGTCTAGGTATACATGTAGGTACCCAAATAGCTGGGCATAAGAGTAAAGGTATAACCTATCTGAGATATCATTTTATAACTATAAAATGTCATGTAATTTCTACCTTGGATGGATTGGTCAAGTATTAAGAGAGACAGTACATAGGACAATGTCTTATATAGTCTCGGGAACTTGAGTAAATGCTTCCTTCCTTTTACTCATACCTTAGAATGCTGCTAAGCTGTCCTAGGTGGCATCTTCAGGGTGACATGTTAAAAGGAATCACTAAGCCCCAGTGGGGATGGATGTCTTAGAAGAGATGAGCAGTAGTCAGGAGAAGGATGTGGTTAGGAATTTTTAAGGAAATGATAGCTTCTAAGGTTAATTTTCTTGCTTGGGGTTTAAGAGGAAATTCAAGGTTCTTGTTAATTATACTTACCAATTGGGTCTAATTGGCAACTACCCCAAAATGAATAAAACAAGCGGGAGTCAAGAGAGAAAAACGGCAGGCATCCTGTCAAAAAACAAAAGCTTTGAAATCTCTACAACCCAATGGTCGGATACACATTTCATTAAAGCAGATAGACCACCCAATTTGTGTGAGTCTCTGTGTGTGTTATCCTGCACACGCAGAGCTGGGCAAAGTATCATACGATTTCTCAAAACTGAACACTAGCAGATTCCTATCAACATGCCTTCTGCTGGTGGAAACATATTTTTGTCCTGTTCCCATCAGGATTAGTTATGGGAGGTGAAGAGATTGCTTTACACTCATATTACATCTTAGTATTGGTGAAACCCAGTGCTGGTGGCTGGTGTATCAGGTAAAATGATAATTATGACTCTTTCAGTTCTGTGTCTTCCAGGACAGGACAAGAAGCAGATTCATGCCTATGTTCTTTCTTGCTTTTAGAAACATTTCTGCGTTTTTTGTTAGTTTTTTTTTTGTTTTTTTTGTTTTTTTTTTTAAAGAACTATGTTCCATTGCCAAACATTAGCTACATATGAATTACATTAGCTGGTCACATGCTAATCTTCTTGATTTGTTACTAAGCACGAGCAATGTTATTTACTAAGGATTCTCCTTCTGCTCTTTCTCTTTCATTGGCTAGCCAGAGGGTTGTCTGTGTCTCTAATGCCTTCTCTCACTTCAGTATGTCAGGTTTCCTACTGAGCTGGCTTTTCTCCCTCTCACCCAGGAAAGACAGTCAATGGCAAATCCTGTCTGGGGAGATCTCACTGGTTAAGTTAGCCTGTTTTTGGCTAGGTGGCTCAAACAGCATGTGCTGTCAAATCTTGGCCTAAGGGAGCCAGCCTGCCTTTGCCTTCCTGAGGCTCTTGCCCTAGAACAACATATAGAGGAATTCCAGACCTCAGCTTCTTAGGTCTGACCTAGACTTCTAGAGAAGCCTTAGGTTGTAGCAGTTGCTGGGAATATTGGAAAGGGACAGATGGTTGGTGAAAGGCACTGGGCCCCTTTTCATGGGTCATCATTGAGCCATTCCTCAGGTCCACAAGCAGATAAAACCGTGTTGTTAGAACAGTGAACACATGAACAAAACCATAAAGCAGTATCCCCTGAAGCCCCCGGACGTGGGTTGCTTCCTTTGGATTCTCCTCTGTTCATAAAATAACAATCCAAAAGTAACAATGTTACATTTCCCAGTGCATCCTTAATTAGTGTGTTTCTGAGGACACAAATTCAGCTAACAACTGTGTGTAGCAATCAGACCACTTGTTAATACTATAAGCAAAGCTACTAAGATGGCAACTACACCCACCCTCTTCCAGATATTTAGTGTAAGTATTATGAATGAAACTGAGCAATTCATAATATATATTAAAATTAAATAAACCTGGCTTTGTTACATCTTTCCTGAAGAGTGACCCTCCGGTTGGTATTTTCAATCTATTCTTTCTCTCTCTATATAAACGTCTCATGAAGAAAAATCTCAAAGGCTGCTATGCTAAAGGGCAGGGAAAAGAGTGTGACTATAGTTACAAACTGGAGTGTCAAGGCAAAGGGAGGCGCTGATCATGTCTTGAACCCTCTGCCCCAAAGACACAGTAGAGAGATGATGAATGAGAAGATGGGGAACAAAAGACTAGAGATTTTGTACCAAAACAAGATTGATTCCACAAGTGCTGTGTTGGAGAATGTTGCTGAATTGCACAGAGAGGTGTTTTTTTTTTTTTTTTTTTTTTTTTGACCTCTGAATTCCTAGGACATTGTACCAAACAGAGACCATCCCTCAAACTAAGATAGCAACATGCTGCTGAGCAGGAAATGGCTGGCTGCGTGTAGTTTAGGTTCAGGCAGAAGCTCTGTCAAGTCAATTCACTGTGAATTCAAAAAAAAAAAAAAAAACCTTAAGGTTTCTCAAGTGACTTTTATATATAAAGAATGAAAGTAGTGAGGTAGGTGAGATTTACAGATCATCTATATGTCTGTGCACACCACACATACACACACACTCTCATACTATATTATTTATGTTCTGGTTCTATATTCTACTTTAGTGTTTCCCTAAGACTCTCTGTTAGTAAAAGAAGGAGTAAAACATGCATGCCTCTCCTTATGGGTTTAACGATTTATATGTTCTAAAATATAACTTGAGGTCATATGTCCTCATTCATGTTTGCCCCAGAAAACTTCCCTGTGCCATTAGAGGATACAATTTAAAAAAAAATGAGACAAGGTTCAACTCTCTGTACTGCACTAAATGTCTGCCTATTGAAAGCGTTTTACCTGTGTGGCATGTAAGTGTACTGGCCCCATTGTGCCTGTCAAATCTTGCTTGGCAGGCATCTGCATGAATATTCTATCCAGAAATGTTTTTGTCTGAACTGCCACTGTACTTTGCATCACAAAGGGCACGGGCACTTGCTGTTCTATAGTGCAGCCTCTGCACACATAGCCAGCCCTTCAGAACAGGCTGGTACAGGCGTGGGCTCAGATCTAGCCTTCCTGGGTCTGCCACTTAGTAGCAGCCTGACCTGGAGTCCATTCCTTGGCCTCTGTGCTTTAGTTTGCTTGCTAAAAAACAGATGAAGAACTCTTGTAGAGATTAGATCAGCTATTCCCTCTAAATGATGTAGAGTAGGACTCGATCAACACAAGGTTTTGTTGACTTCTTTGGAAGACTGAGTTCTGCAAACACAAAACTGTGCCTTGTGCACCTTGCCGCCTCCACAGTGCTTTCTGTAGTGCAGGCACTCAGGCAAACTTGTAGAGCAAAAGTCCCAAAGAAGCATTGCCATGGGAAAATGGAATGGTGCAATCGCTGTTGATTTTAAACCATAGGAGGTTCTGCCACATTTTTAAAAAAGTGAAGAAATTCAATATATATTTTGCGTGCATAGGAAATACCTTAAAATTATAGTGAGGTAAAGAGTATATTGGAGAACCTTGCTACGGTGAGCATATGGGCACTATTCAACATGAAACAGCTGTTGAATGAACTGCAACTTTATGGGGAGAGAGGGACCTGGACGTTGGGGTACTCAGGAGTGTGTTGAAAGAGAAATGACTAGTTATTGGACTGCCATATTCCCCTCTTGGTAGGGACACAGATGGAGGGTGCTTCCAGTCTCCCCACTGCCACAGGACATCTATTTATACTTTAGTACTGGGAACATGTTTAGACTGTGCTGTAATCTGACAAATCCAAAGCAGAAACATGGCGTGTGATCTGATTTTAGTTATTATTAAATACAAGCATGAAATTTGTTACACTGGTATCATAATTTTTATATAACTTTTATATGTGACTCGAGAATATTGTTCCTGTGTCTGTAGTCAGCCTCTCTTCCCTTCAGTTTCCTGACTGAATTCTTTGCTGATTCTTTATTCCTAAGACAAAACCAAGACTGCATGGATCAGGGAAGAGATATTTTGAATGTAGTGATGCAGGTTCCCATTTACTGTTTGGGTATGATGGGGGTCACCCTAGAGCTGGGGTAGGAGAACAAGGAGAGGAGAGCTAAAGGATACAACAGTTGGCTGAAACCTTTTTTCCTTTTCTCAATAAAATAAAAAGAAATATCCAACACAAAAAAAATAAAAATAACATACAACATGAGAACTACAGTGGACAGTGGTGTGCTGGAGTTAGGATTTTTGCCAAATGAGTATGTTATGGCTATCCATCCTAAGGAGGAGACAGGGAACTATGTGAGATGGTTTTACTACAGATGCGTCTAACAATTCTACTTTGTACTCCTTAATTATACATAATATCTATTTTAAAACATGATATATATATATATATATATATATATATATATATATATATATATTATTCTGGGAAGGAAGATGTCAAACTCCTGTGTTAAAGGGATAGGGGAACTACATCCAAAGACTTATTCATATACTCTTTTGCAAAAATTGTCTCTGTTTTGCTGGAAAATTCAGCACCAGGCTGGCTAGTTTTATGCCAGCTTGACACAAGCTGGAGTCACCTGAAAAGAGGGAACCTCAATTAAGAAAATGCCTCCAGGAGATCCCACTGGAGGGCATTTTCTTAATTAATAATTGATGGGGAGGGCCCAGTCCACTGTGGGTGGTACCATCCCTGTGCTGGTGGTCCTGGGTTCTATAAGAAATCAGGCTGAGTAAGCCATGGGGAGCAAGCCAGCAAGCAACACTCCTCCATGGCCTCTGCATCGGCTCCTGTCTCCAGGTTCCTGCTCTGTTTGAGTTCCTATCCTGACTTCCTTCAAGTGTTATGGAAACAAAAGCCAAAAAAACATTTTCCTCTCCAAGTTGCTTTGGTCATGGTTTTTCATCATAGTATTAAACTTAGACAAACATCAAGAAGTCTTAAGAACAAAAAGTAGAGGTATCATTTCCTGCCTTTTGTCTTCTACCTGGTTCACTGTAAATATTATTTATCTATGATTCTACGTATCCTAGAATACTTAGGGCTATTGTATAAGCATATGAGTATAAAATGTCAAAATGTAATTATAGTAAACAAACAATTAAATTATAGAATAGACTTTAAAGATTAACTTTAGATATCTTAAAAGATACCTCTAGATACCTTTCTATATGAGCCCAAACCGAACTATTTCACTATAATAATTTGAGTGTTTTACTACATGTCTCTATAATTTTTTGTATCATTGAGTAATGGTTAGGTTATTTCTGTTCTGTTACTGTGAGCAATATTATAGTAAATATATACAGAATAAATTCCTAGTAGTGAAATTGTAGACTCAAAGGTTTTGTACACATTAAAGGGATGGTAGAACATCGCTAAGTAAGGTTTCCACATTTACACATAACAAAGATGTTATCAGTTCATATTTATGTAGTATTTATTGACATAAGTTTACCTTGAGCTTTGATTTTGCCAATTTGATTGATATAACTTTTTCATTGATGGATGATGTTAAATCTTTATCTCCTTCCCCATGACCTTCCTATGGATATGTCTTGCTCAATTTCCAATAGGGTGTTATACATTTTTCTTTTTGATTTATAAATACTTTGCATATTATGGAAATTGG